AAGCATTGTTCACTATTGAAGTCCAACAAAATTAAATTAAAGAAATTAGTAACCCGCAAAATAGGGTTTTCCTCAAAGTATCTTTCCAAACAAATCAGCTTATTCAAATTTCATCAATTGTTTTGTGAAATCGAATGAAACAGTTTGTAAATCTTGACAAAAAATGCTAGTGATAACTTCAACAATAATAAATACTGCAAGGATTTCAACAACTGTCAGTGTGTTGCAATGAGAATAAAATTCTAATATATAAAAATTCTCAATCGAATGCTTATTTGAATTGGCATGCATATTTTAGAAGATGAAAAAAAATTCCTACCAGCATGACTATGTCAGAGTGGTTCATGTACTTAGTAGAATAGAGTACAATAAGCAGAACTAGCAAATAATAAATAAAAGGCAAATGAAGGTACTTGCTTTCACTTTGACACAAGGAAAATCCATCATTTGTTGAACTGGAATTGTCATGTAATTTGAGCTATAAATAATGATCTTGATGGTAATATGATTGAAGAGATATCAATCTGATCAATGATTCTACCCTGATGCTAATAACATATAAAACCCAGTGTTATCTGCTGATTGAGAGTTGGAAAGAAAAAAATGGTTACTGTATATCTGTAAAAGTACAATATGAATAAAGACAAAAGGAAAACTTATCTTCTGAGGGATTTTATCAAGGCAAATGCAAGGATTTTATTTTGCAAAAAGTATTTATATATAAGAGCAAAAATGTTATTGGTTTTTAGAAATAAATTAAATTTAGGAACGCTGATAAATATTCATCAGGTTTGTTGAAAGTGATGTTTTTGAAATTTTTCTTTTATGCAAATTATATAAATTACTTTAGTTTAAGACTAATTCATGTGTTATATATTTTGAATCACATGAGGTTATGGATTTAACAGTTTTCTTTCCTTTTTTTAATATTTTTCAAGTCGTGTATCTTGGCTTGGGAAAGTAGTAATTCTTTCAGGAATAAAGTTATTGGAAAACTCCAGGGCACATATTTATATTTTGGTAAGATTCGATTGCCACGCTCAAGAATTTCCCTTTCAAGTAGGATACTTTCTCTTTTAATAAATGGGGGAATTCTTTAGATCAAAGTTTTAGTTGAATTGATTTCTATTTAGAACTAATGCATTTGACAAATTGTTGTATGTAAAATCCCTTTTGCGTTCAGAGATACAATTTTTTAAATTTCTACATGTTTCCCCAGTGTATTTTGAGGAACAGTTCTGGCAATTTATTTTATATACATCTACTTCAGAATTATTGTTTTAGGTATTTTGGGTCCTGAACTTATCCATAAAAATTTTTGATGTGGTTGTAATTATTTTGATGCTGTTTAGATTGGACGCATTGTTTTGGATTGTGGATGTTAGTGTGTTAGTAGGTATTATTATATGTCTGTTTTTATCTAGGTGTTTATTAATAATGTTCTCTTTTGGCTCTGTATCTGGTGGACCAGTCAGCAAATAATGGACTGTGAGCTGCTACCAATGAGCCAAACCATCACTGCGGATCTGTACTCATAGCAGTTTGAACATGCGTATCAGGCACTGAAGCAGAAGCCAGCATCACAAGGATATACTGTTCCTCCATGACAATGTCATGTCTAATGTGGTGCAGGTGGGCAGGGATATTATGTGGCATCTTGAATGAAGGACACTGTGCCAGCCACCTTATTCTCCAGACCTTGTGCCAACAAATTACCACCTCTTCCAATCCCCGGACAAACACCTTCATGGAATATCCTTTGCAAAGGAGGCCGACTTGTGGCAGACTATCACGGACTTCTTTGCATCCAAGAAAGGTGACTTTCACAGCTGAAGGAATGTTGGCAAAAATTTCTGGATATTGATGGGGATTAGTTTGAGGACTAATGTTATGTCTAATTTGGTATAAACATTGTCTTAACCCAGAAAAAGTGCCATGCCATGTCTTAGCTGTAAAGGTCTGAACTGGTGAAACTTACAATATTTACATTGCTCTGCATTTTATTTTCATCCATATTCAATAATCATTTCCTCTGTATTCCAGATATAAGAAAATTTCACTCAGACAATTTCCCCACCCAAGAACTTCTACTCTGTAGAACAGGGGGCGAGTGCTTCCCTGAAAATTTCATGAGTATCCTTTTCGAGTAAAGAGTCAATTGCCATCTTTCGTTCTTATTCTCATATTAATATTACACACCTCATTTAGTAACCCTCTACCTTGAGTGACTCTCATGCCTTGTACTGGATGAATTCTAATTAAAAAAAACAATGCTATAAATAGATTAGTGTATGCATTTTGTGAACTATCAGTTTTGGCATATGAGGGCCCAGTAGTTTAGTTGAAAACTAAAGCATTAGTCTATCCACACAGATTATTTGATTATAGCGATGAAAGCTTGTATAGAAATGGCCACACTTGTCAGAAGGACTGGCATGGAATGTCAGAAAATCTCTTAAACAACCATCTTCAGGTTTGTTTTTTGAATTTTCCTTCTCTTACACTGGGTGTCACCCAAAGTAAGAAAGATCCATCTGCTCTGCTATCTAATTCGTATCTTAGACTCATGATTTTTTGAACGATGTTATTACAAAATAGACCATTACATTAACTAGAAATAATATATAAAAAATAAAGAATCTTGTTAATATAAAGACAACAACTGCCCCTAAATTTATCTTAATAGTATGTCTGGCTGGTTATATAAATTCATATTGGCTGCTGATCTAAAAAAAAAAAAAAAATGACCTACATTCTGTTAACTGGGATGAGAATGGCTTGTTAATGTTAATGCCTCCAGAATGAAACTATTCTTTTAATCGTCTGAGAGAGACCTTTTTACCATCCATCAGCATGGCTGATGCTAACCTTCAGGCGAGTGACTCATTGCACCTTTGTGGTGAACACGTGTCAGTACAAATGCAAAAGAGGCCCCGGATTGCATGTGGACATGTTTGTCAACACCAGTAACATCTGGATTTTCCCCTGTTAGCAGCGGGACTACTTGGCATGTCTAGATATAGGCCTCTCTGCAAATGGCCAAGATCCGGATTTTTGATAAGATGCCTCATGATAATAAAAGAAACAGGTACACCAGCAGTCAGGAAGACATGATGTAGGTCCCATGGACACTTTGTTCCTAAAGTTGCTGTGATTTCTGGGGTCAAAACACTATGAAATTGTAAAAATAGGTTTTAATACCAGAAATACTTTTTAAAAAAATTATTACCAGAAATACAGTTTTGAAAGAAAAAAAAGTATATATATATATATATATATATATATATATATATATAGCATAGCATGTTATAATAGTAGGAATTGTGTCTTTGATTTTAGGGTGGACCGTTTTTTGATTTTATCGAGGTCCCAATCCTTATATCACCTCAAGGTTCTCTAGTCATTTCTTGTATATCAGATCCCATGGGCTTTCCCTCTGTAAACAGAGGGAATGCTTACTGAGTATGAATTTATTGGACTCTAGCTTTCTTGAAATTCATTTTTTCCCCTCCATTGGTTATCATGAAATATATATATATATATATATATATATATATATATATATATATATATACACATACATATTTACCAGCTATACATTTTTTGAAAGAAACATTAGAAAAAATGTTAGCAGCAATAGATTTTTGGAAAAAATTATTACCAGCAATAAAAATGTTGTTGGCATTAAATAACCCATTGAGGTTGATATGCTGTAAAACAAAATAAACTAAACTAGGAAGGGGTCTGCTTTATTCAGAAAGAAATTCATATTAGAATTAGGCAAAATTATTTTGTTTACTGGCTTGCTTACTAGAGATATCTTAATAAAGAAACCCGCATCCTCCTAACAGGAGGAACCACCATCTGATACTTTTTGGACTAACATTTCCTGTTGACATGAAGAGGAAATATTATATTGAATCAATTGCTATGTCTGCTGTGTTGACCATGTTTTGTTAGATTTGGGCGAGAAAAATTGTCTGTTTTACACATTTTTAAGTTGAACATTTCAATATCGCTTCCATATAGGGTCCGTTTTCCCTGCTATATATTTAGAGATCCTTGTTAAAATCCAAAGAAGAATCTTCAATATCATCGGTCGTATCATGTCACTTAGGCTTCAGTCATTTCCTGCTGTCGTAATGTAGCTTTCCTGTGCCTTTTCTATAAATACTTTCATGGTAACTGTTCTGTTTTCCAATCAACTTTAATTTTCAAAAATTTAAATGCAACATCAATTAACTTCTGTCTTAATTCCTGTTCTATAATTGTTCTTTTACTGTTCTTGCGCCTTTATGTTTTCTCGTATATTCTTTCAGTCAGTAAGCCCCTACATTTAGGATGAAATTATAAGAATATGGGAAATTGCATGCTTAGTTTTTCTGCTGTGAGACAGAATCTGAAAACAAAATAAATCCAATGCAGAAAATGCAGGGTTAAACAAGTCAATATTTAAGGACAGTTTGATGTAGGGATGTTGTAAGCCACGTGTTTTATGTATATATTCTAACCAGTTTAGTTGGTGCTGAAAGAGAAACAAAGATAATACTTACCATTTAAAAGAGATTCTCCAAATACCAAAATATAGAGAGTAGCATTCACTCCCATTTCTGTGAAGATGGCCAATACCTAAAAGAAATAGAGAGAGAGAGTCAGAAGAAAGAAAGAGAAAAAAAAAGCAAATCAGAAGAGAGAGAGAGAGAGAGAAGAGAAAGTCAGAAGAGAGAGAGAGAAAAGAGAAAGTCAGAAGAGAGAGAGAGAAAAGAGAAAGTCAGAAGAGAGAGAGAGAAAAGAGAAAGTCAGAAGAGAGAGAGAGAAAAGAGAAAGTCAGAAGAGAGAGAGAGAGAGAAAAGAGAAAGTCAGAAGAGAGAGAGAGAGAGAAAAGAGAAAGTCAGAAGAGAGAGAGAGAAAAGAGAAAGTCAGAAGAGAGAGAGAGAAAAGAGAAAGTCAGAAGAGAGAGAGAGAAAGAGAAAGAAGAAGAGAGAGAGAGAAAGAGAAAGTCAGAAGAGAGAGAGAAAAGAGAAAGCCAGAAGAGAGAGAGAGAAAAGAGAAAGAAAGAAGAGAGAGAGAGAAAAAGAGAAAGAATAAGAGAGAGAGAGAAAAAGAGAAAGAAAGAAGAGAGAGAGAGAAAAAGAGAAAAAAGAAGAGAGAGAGAGAAAGAGAAAGTCAAAGAGAGAGAGAAAAAGAGAGAAGAGAGAAGAGAGAGAGAGAAAAGAGAAAGTCAGAAAAGAGAGAGAGAAAAGAGAAAGAAAAAAGAGAGAGAGAAAAGAGAAAGAAGAGAAGAGAGAGAGAAAAGAGAAAGAAAAGAGAGAGAGAGAGAGAGAAAAGAGAAAGAAAGAAGAGAGAGAAAGAGAAAAGAAAGAAGAGAGAGAGAGAAAGAGAAAGAGAAAAGAGAGAGAGAAAAGAGAAAAAAAAGAAAAGAGAGAAAGAAAAAAAAGAGAAAACAAGAGAAAGAGAGAAAGAAAAAAGAAAGAAAGAAGAAAGAGAGAGAGAAAAAAAAAAGAAAGAAAGAGAGAAAAAAGAAAAGAAAAGAGAAAAGAGAGAGAGAAAAAAAGAAAAAAAAGAAGAAAGAGAGAGAAAAAAAAGAAAGAAGAGAGAGAAAGAGAAAAAAGAAAAAAGAAAGAGAGAAAAAAAAAAAATAAATAAGAGAGAGAGAGAGAAAAAGAAAAAGAGAAAGAGAAAGAAAGAAAGAGAAAGAGAAAAGAGAGAAAGAAAAAAGAGAAAAGAAAAAAGAGAAAGAGAAAAAAAAAAGAGAAAGAAAGAAAGAGAAAAAAAAGAAAAAAAGAGAGAGAAAGAAAAGAGAAAAAAGAAAGAAAGAGAAAGAAAAGAGAAAAGAAAAAGAAAGAAAAAGAGAGAGAGAGAAAAAAAAAAAATAAAACAAGAGAGAGAGAGAGAGAAAAGAGAAAGAAAAGAAAAGAGAGAGAGAAAAAGAGAAAGAAAAAAGAGAAAGAAAGAAAAGAAAAGAAAGAAAAAAAGAAAAGAGAGAGAGAAAGAGAGAAAAGAAAAAAAAAGAAGAAAGAGAGAGAGAAAGAAAGAGAGAAAGAAAGAAAGAGAGAGAGAAAGAGAGAAAAGAGAAAAAGAAAAGAGAGAGAAGAGAAAAAAGAGAAAGAAAGAAAAGAGAGAAAGAGAAAAAAGAAAAAAAGAAAGAGAAAGAGATTTTTTCTTAAAAAGAAAAAAAGAGAGAGAGAGAAAAGAGAAAAGAGAAAGAAGAAGAGAGAGAAAGAGAAAAAAGAAAAAGAAAGAAAAGAGAAAAAAAAAAAAAAAGAAAGAAAAGAGAGAAAAAAGAAAAGAAGAAAGTAATTTAAGAGAAGAGAAAAAGAAAAAGAAAAGAGAGAAAAGAGAGAAAAGAGAAAGAAGAAGAGAGAGAAAAGAAAAAAGAGAAAGGAAGAAAGAGAGAAAGAGAGAAAAGATTTGAGAAAGAAAATATTAGAGAAGAGAAAAAGAAAAAAAAAGAGAAACAGAGAAAAAGAGAAAGTCAAAAAAGAGAGAAGAAAAGAGAAAAAAGAAAAAGAGAAAAAAAAAAAAAAAAAAAAAAAAAGAGAGAAAAGAGAAAAAAAAGAAAGAGAAAGAGAGAGAAAAGAAAAAAAAAAAAAAAAGAAAAAAGAAAGAAAAGAAAAGAGAAAGAAAGAAGAAAGAAAGAGAAAAAGTCGAAGAAAAAAACCTTATCACCAGTAAATGACATCATTTCATTCTTTTTTCAGTATTAAAATTGATATTTAATTACAAATCTCTGCTACATAAGAAAAAAAAAAATCATTAATAAATTATTAGTTTTTATATAATGTGTCATGTCCCTTCTGGATATACGCGACCCTGGCTCCCCACATCATATCCCTTTCGGAATTTTGCAGTTTTTCTCCATTTGCTAAGGCTTCCACTCTACTTCTGCCATTCATTCACACAAATTCATCAGGGTAAGTGGTTTGCTGCCTTCCCTTAACTCCTACCCACCAATAATGGGGGGAAAAGTTTCATTTTCAGACGATTTTTTTAATTTCATTTTAATATAATAACTAAGAAAATGAGGTACCTTGAAGTACCCAAGCAGTGTCTAACACTTTTACTAGACGTATGAGTTGACAATTCGACTCGCATAAAAAGACTCAAGACACTATTATAAATTCTTGGACACATCTTCAACTTCACGCACACACGTACGTACGAACAACGCATATCTGCGAACATTCACTCCTTGAACAAGGACACAAAAACTTAACTTCTAACAGTGAGATTTTCATTAAGAGACAAATACTACAACTCTCGATTTCCAAGCGAAGACTACAATTTTCTCTCACTCAACAAGTTTCTTTGAAAGCCTTAAGCAAAACAATTCAACCAGCAGTTAAAGGTAAATTACTCCTGCTATATTTTAAACATCGAGTTTTCGACTATAGATAATGTTACAAATTGTTTAATTAATTTAAATAGATGTATTAATTAGATTCTACATCACTTTCACACAAAAATGAACATTCTTTAGAGGAAAAGATTTCACCTGTCAAAAGAACAAGTAACAAATACATACTGCAACTTAATCTCTAAGTTCACTGAATTACTGTCTGTACAATTGCTGCTATATAAAATCCATTTACTTAAGCCATTTCTCCTGTTGAATGTTATTCTTCTCGTTTGCTTATTCCTCGTTACCACATTAAAAATAGTACGGGTTGAATTGAGGCCGTTTGACCTGCTACAAAATTACCCGTGTCTTTCTTCGACATTTTCACCCCCGCCCATTAAGCTTCTTGCCGTGGGGAAAAAAAAAATCAATGGTTCATTTTAACCTCTAAGTAGCTTCTTTTTTTCCCCATTTCTCTCTCCCTGGTGGTATATAGTAGCTAATTCTTCCTACTTAATTTTGTACTTCAAGACTGAATGATAAAACAGCGGAAATATCGTGCTAATAAGAGGATGAGGACCAGATTCCGAGTAGCTTAATGTTCAATAATTCCTTATCTCAATGATTCAGACAATGAGAAATATTTGTTTTAATAGTAGTGTATAAGAGGTTATAATTCTATGCAAATGTGATTTTCAATTTGGATATTTTTCGAAAATTCTTCTAACTCAAAGTTAGAAGAGAAAAACACCTTGTTACACCTGTCAAAACGTACTTTATAAATTTTTCACTTACCGATATATTCCGGGCGTCTAAAGAAAATGGACGCTTCTTTTATCAATATATTATATATTTCTTAAAGTTCTTATTTTCAGATGAGAATTTCGGAATTTGAAAACAGCTAAATCCTCAATATCCAAAATTATACTCCATAATTTATAACATATTTAGATATATGGGGTAAAAATTAATTATAAATTTATATTTTGTCGATAGAAGCGTAAACTGCTAATGCATGGGACATAATTTCAAAAAGCTAATTTTTAGTTTTTTAAAAAATTATTTTTTTTTCTTAGTATCCTTTCTTTATATATCCGCTTTTTTGTTCTTTCTTTTTTTTATCTTCAATATTCATTAAAATTAATTCATAGATAATCACCGAGATTAACTTTGTTTAATGATATTTTCCTTACGTATCTTGAAATTAAAGATTCAATCCTACACAACGCAATTTTATTTATATAACGCTACATTTCTCACGATTTCTTAGGTCGTCAGTGTGAGAAAGAGTGATTCCCCTTAGTGATATCTCCCAGTGCCTCTGGGTTTGTAGCGGTTTGTATAACGCCAGCAGAAATTTATTAATGCAAGATGTATTTGCCTTCAAAAAGATCTCGAATATTCAGGCCGGTAGACGAAAAAAAAATACATTGTTTAATAAATAAACGAATCGTCTACTAGATATCCATTAAACATAACATTTACACTACAGTAATCATAAAATATACCTCTTGACGATTGGACAGAGATCTATTACAAAAAAGTTCGTCCACGAAACTCCGGAATCGGCTTGCTGAATACAATATCAATCAACTAGGACAAATTTCATATTTGTATTAATCATATATGTAAAAATTTTAGATGATTGTATCTGTAAATAACAGCAATATGATTAAAAACAAAAGAAAAACTTATCTTAGCCGACGTGTTTTGGTCTATGATAAAGTCCACAGAGGACGAAACGCGTCAACATTAAGTTCCCTTTATCTTTAACTATATAACAGCCATACAAAGTGGGTAGTCTAATTTAGTGTTCTAAAAGTTATTTTTGTGGGTGATAAAGATTATGTTTCGTAATATTCTAGGGGCTATTGGGTGGAAATGATTGTGGATCTGGATGCAGTTTTTGGGCTATTTATAGTGTTGTTTGTTAATTTTTATGTGTTATTGATTATTTTATTGTTGGTTTTTATTACGTTTACTTGTGTTCATGTCGCGTTCATGATTTGTTATTTTGTTTATTATTTACATAATTTATTTACTTATTGGTTTGCATTAATTTATTTTACTTATTTGTGTTTATTTTTTTTTTTTAATTAATTTTTGTTTATTATTATTTGCATTTAGGTTTTCATTTTAAGTAACGCAGTCAAAATTTGTTTTCTGCATTATGAGATGAATTCTGATCATTTATTTAGTGGTTCGTGTTAGTCTGGGAAGGTAAATACAGCCATTTTCTTCTCTACATATAATTTAAAGATTTTTCGCCGTTTTTCTTATTTTCCATGATCTTTATGTATGATTTGGTTTTTGGTTTTAATCTACTATATATATGTTTAGAATGCAGTGTGCTGTTCACGTATTTGCTAATTGTAAAGGATGTTTTTTTCGTGTTTATCAGATTATTTTTCAATCATTCTTCAAATTTAAAATTATGTATAGAAAGAGTGTTCCAATAACTTGGACCGATTTTAAATCTGAATTAAGTTTAAGAGTCTAATTATTTTTTTTCTTTTTCTTTCAGATTTAATAAGTTAAGTCTTTGTCAATCTTTCCAGGACTGAAATTGCCAATCAAACGACGTGTTAAAGTTATCGAAGCCTATTACGAAAATGGACGTTCAATCAAATTTAATTTGAATTCCCAGGTCGCATCATCTCTAAACAGCGCATCATCTTGATCGTGCATTTGAGATTTCTTCCTTGGGATCATCTCAAAAGTAAGGTCTATGCCAACAAGCCAACAACAATTCAACAGCTGAAGGATGAGATAATAAAGCATATTGGTGAAATCGAATAGCAACTATGCAGAGACGTCATCAAAAATTTTGACCATCGAATGGAGGTGTACCGCCGAAGTCTTGACGGACATTTGGGCGATATTATTTTTCACACATAATTGCCACGACTTAAATAACATGATCCAATAGAGAAATAAATAAATTTTCACCAATAACACCGATTTATTTACAGCTGACTTTGAGCCGTCTTAATGAAACACCATGCAATTTCCGTTTAAGGGACATTCCTTATTTATTCTGCATTTACGTTGGTATAATTAATTGCGGTGTTTTGTTGCTTGACTGACGCCGATGGCTGTTGACCTCAATGTCCACTTTTATATTTACATACGCTCTATCCCTGATATTGATCACTTTAATCCATAAATATGGCATACCTTCAAACTATATTTTATCACATTTAGCTCCTAATAAAGAGTGGAGCACATTCACTACATTTATAACTTATCATTGACACCGAAATGTTTAGTCACGACTACTCCCTAAAATCATACTCATCCCATAAACATCTACCTACAAACCAAAAATTAAAAAAAAAAAAAAAAAAAAAAAGAATGCTTCATAAAAAGAACGAGGTGAAAAGCGCATTTCTTTTTAAACCGAGTACTTAATACAAAAGGAAAAATGCAGCTTTAAAAAAAAAATCAAAAAAAAAAAAATCTCCACAAAACAAAGAAGTGGACGACTTCGAGAAAGACTTGATTAATTTAGTAAGACACATAAAATTTCATAAACAATGCCTTCCAAAAAGTAAAAATGATACAACTAAAATGAACAATTCCCTTAATGTACTTACCACAGCGGACAAAACTAGACATTTATACGAGCTAAGCTAAGCCCAGCCCCAAGCAGAAATTATTAAAGGACAACATAAGTAAAGCATACAGAAAAGTACCAAAAAACAACAGAACACGATATAAATAAAGAAGCTAAAACAAATAACAAAATAAATATTTGACATAGACGACAGAATAAATTAAATTGCTAAAGCTGAAAGATTTATCAGAGTAAAAGAAAATTTCAGAATAGACCCAACCAAAAGTGAACTCGGTAAAATAATATTAGAAAGAATTAATTCAGAGCTTAGGAAGAAGACAGTAGTAAATTAATGATAAATTTATATTTTGTCGATAGAAGCGTAAACTGCTAATGCAAGGGACATAATTTCAACTAAGCTACTTTTTAGTTACTTCCCTTAGATTTTTTTCTTAGTATCCTTTCTTGATATATCCGCTTTTTTGTTCTTTCTTTTTTTTATCTTCAATACCCAACCAAAAGTGAACTCGGTAAAATAATATTAGAAAGAATTAATTCAGAGCTTAGGAAGAAGACAGTAGTAAATCAATAGAAAAACAACTATAGATTGTTTCCACAACCTAAAGAACAAACATAATTGCCAGTTTATACAACTAGATATGAAAGAATTCTATCCTTCTATAACAAAACCTATGCTGGATAAGGGCATCTTCTTAGCCCAAGAACAAATAAAAAACACAGACGAAATAAAAACAATCATTAAACTCCCCCCCAAATCACTATTATTCGACAAAGACTCGTGGATAAAGTAAGCAGGAACCGTTGACACTACAATGGGAAGCTCTGACGGTACAAGACCTGCGAGCTCATAGTTAAAATGTATACCTAAATAAAATAATCGATAAAGTGATAAAGGCCTCTACAGGGACGACGGTCACAATCTTCAGAAACTGTAACAAAGAAAACGGAGACAAAACCAGAAAAAAAAAGTCATCAAAATTCCCCAAAATATGGGATTTGCCAGTACATAAAATTAATATAAAAAAAGATTTTCTATATGTCACCAACTACGAATGAAAATTATGCAAAACGTTTACGCAGTCTTATGAAGAAGGATTTATTCTCCAACCCGAAGCCCCTATCTCACTGAAGTAACGTCGCAAGCTTGTCGCTTCACTGTCGATATTTCCACGGCAAATGTTCCGACGAGTCCCATTCTTTAATACCACCAGCTGATATCTATACAGCCTTCTTATACACACAGGATTGAATCACTTTCATTCCCTGGCGTTCCAATCCGAAAGCTTCTTATTGGTACTTTATGGAACAGACTCCCGCGTCGTTGCTTCCCAGAACACTACGATCATAACCTCTTTATGTTTAGGATCAATCTTTATGTATCCGCTATATTTTCCTAAGTTTCAAGTATGCTTCTCCCTCCCCTCTTAGATTCATATCGCAAATGTCATTCTGTAACCCCTGACCTTGAGTGGCTCTCAGGCAAAAAACTGACTGAACAAATGGCTACTTACAGCGACTGGATCGACTGCAACAATAACTGAAGTGAAGACGAGAATGTTTGAGAAGCCAATCGCCATTATTCCACTAGCTGGTGCTAGGGACAAACCCCATAGCGAAAGTCCTGAAAGAAAAAATAAATAAGTGTTAATAAAAAAAGAAGCTGTAAATACTTTAAGATATATGTTAGAACAGATTCTCACACTTAATAGGCAGATCGGAAAGGAAATGTCAATAAAGTAGTTACTTCTATCTTAATTCTTCTGATACGAAACTGCGCTCATTTAACCACCATAGAGAAACTTTCCTGTCCGCCATCATCATGGCTGATACGAGACTCAAAGAGAGCAACATACTCCGCCTTCTTGGTCTCACATTTTCAATTAACCTGAATTGTAACGACTAGATTGAATCATTAGCTGCATCTACTGCAAGGAAATTTGGATCACTGAGCCGTGCATATTTATTTATCATTCGTCCGTGCATTGAATACTGTTGCCATATCTGGGAGTTCCTGCGATTCGTCTCGAGGTTCTCGACAAAATTCCCAAAAGGAAATGAAATGTAATCGATCCTGATCAGGAATCTCAACTACAGTCACTTTTTCACCGATGCAACGTGGCTTCCTACAAATATTTTCATAGCAACTGCTCCGACAAGCTTTTTTCCCTGGTGCCCGGACTACATGAATTTAAGCGCGTTACTAGATTGGCATCTAGGTCCCGCCCTTTTACTATTGAAATAATTAAATATAACCACCACTTCTACGCAAACGGTTTCTTTTCCCACACTTCTCGCGTGTGGAACTCCCTTCCGTTTACTTGCTTCCTTGATACCTAAAAATCTTCAAAAATTTAAATGCAACGTCAATCGCTATCTTCTTGAATCCAGTTCATCTTTTATCCTTTCCTCAATCCCCGTCCATGGTCAGTCTTTTCTCTCACTTTCACTCGAGGCAACCTCCTACGTACTAGTGGTATTCCTGCCTTGCTTGGGGTGAAATGATTATTAAAAAATGTAGAGTGATATTCGTTGTCGTGATGTTAATATTAGCAGTTTCTTTAACTCTTTCTGATATTGATGAGAGCTTCCTTCCTAACCTTTTGTTTGCACTGGTGTGTAACATGAACTTTTTGATTATGTTATTTTCCAAGAGAGATATTTGTGGTATATTTTAGTCCTTGCCGCTGTTGAAAGTTAACAATTGACGTGATTTCTGGTATCTGATACAGTTCTTCGTTTGCGATTCTGTAGCACCAGTTCACTACATTTGAAGAAGTACGGTCCTCGCTAAGACCTACAGGATTCATTCGCTCGAAGCCATCTTTAACCATTGATTTGAGAAAACCGTTGAATATATAGCTGACATTTTAAACATTTCTGAATGTGTATGACATAATGCATGATGTTCATAAGAGTCTATTTGACGAGGCTATTTAAGAACATGACTAGAGTTTTTTTTTCCGTTAATGTTTTGGCTTTTGTAGAAAATTCTGGGGCCTATCTGATGTTGTTCTTCATTCTATATAAAGTTTCATAAAACTAATCCATACGCTGAGGTATTTGAAGTTTTAAAAGACATAAAGACACCATGCCTTTTTAGGACAAGGGACACGTCGAATGGTTAGCGATTTATTTTTGTGTGTCAATTTTTAAATGCTATGCCCGTTCAAGATTAATGTGGCCCTGACTCTCCACATTATATAAATTATCTGTAAATCGAATGATTTCTCGATAAAGAGTGGCTTTCCGATAGTTTCTCAACAGCTCCGCTTTCAGAGTATTCTCGCTCAGAATGGCTCTCAAGTCTTGAAAGAATTGTTTACATGTTCTGAACTTCAAATTTATTGATTTTTAAAAAAATAAAACCATTTGTTTTATTAATCCTAATTATTTTATTATCCAGTTGAGCTAGCTCGGACATTCATGAATATCACGCCGACCATCACTGTCCTGCATCAAGGTCAGAAGGTCGTTAGGGAGACATTCTGTGTCATAACATAGTTGGTCAATGTATGTGGTTGCTGGGAGACAAATACGTCTTGCTTCATGGCTAAATGTCCCGAACAGTAGATCATCACACAAGTTCTTGCTTTGCTCGGTAGCAGTCTTATGCAAATGCGATTCTGCGTCAGTGCAGGATTGTAGAAATATCAGGGTTGGGTACCTACAGCTGTGTTGGATGCTGTTCCCATGAGATTTTAAGTACAGCTCTCACCATCCGAGTGTAGGTTCCATCAAGCTTAGACTATAGGAGTTTAGTTAATGCCCAGGCACTGTCACCATACATTATAGGTACCTCCACGAAATCGCTAAAAAAAGAGCATAGCTTGATGAAAAAGACGCCAACCTTGCCGAAAACAAAATTTTATTGTCTAAATGCTTATGTTATTATTTAGAGGAAAGACCAAAGTTTTTTTAATTATTTTAAAAAAAATTTCCTTCTTTTTAGAAAATTCTAAATTTTGATTAAAAAAACCTTGTTTCTATTTGTATCAGCGGAACTAGTAAATAACATAGACAATTTTTAGCACGTTTTTTTGGTATGACACACATTAATTTGAAAAATCGTGCAAAAATAAAAATAATTATCGGATGTTAATGAAACTTTCAGGAACTATTCACAGATGATCGAAATTATTATAAATATGTTTTTTTTTTTTTTTGAAAGTCATGGTAGAAATATTTTTTTTTAATATTTATTACCCCCCATAACTAATTTTATGAAAACGCTAGAAATTCGATCGCATCGGTTTTAGTGATTACAATAATTAAAAGCACAGGGCTTTGAGGAATGCAAATCATGTTTTTTTTTGTTTTTAATTGGATACCCAGTACCTGAAAATCAGCTCTGAATTGTAACATACAAAACTCAATAAAACAAAGATATTATTTAATTTCAAATGCTTTTATTGGCTTTTAGTTGTTTTTATGAATATGGACAATATTTTCTGAAAGCAAAAAATTTTTTCGATGAAAAATGAATTTTTAATACAATTATTTGTTATTTCATTAATTATAATAGATTTTACATTTAAGTTGTTAAAATATTATAAAATTAGTTAAAAGCCGCACAGGCTTTCATAAGTGTCCTTATGAGATAGATCTTTTTTAGTGCGTTGTAAATTGTATCATTTTGACTAATCAGAAGATCCCCAGTAATTAAGAAATGTAATTTTGTGCTTATAATCGAGCTGTAATTATAAAATACGGAAGACCAACCAAAATATAATTAAGTTGCGTTATTTGAGTTCAGCATTGTTCTCCGCTGTTAAGGCCTTTACTTTTGCGAAACACGTGTGGAGAAGTTAATTTGATTTTTCAATTTCAACTGAGAAGGTTACCTACAAGTATCAGTATCATCTTATGAAATTTATATGATCTTATTTTTTTTATATTAATCTCAGTTACGACATTTTTCCATAAATGAAATATCAAAATTAATAATAAAATGAATGCAAATACAAATAACAGTAGAATGTAATAAATGTACATAAAATTATAATATTTTATGTACAATTCTGATAAAATTTCATAAGAAAGGTACCTATAAATTAATTAGATACCTTTCTTAAGAAATATGAAATTTAATGTCACTCTTAACAGTTTTATTTTAATTTCTTTAGAATATATTTCCCATAAAGCATCATAAACGTAAAGGTGAAAGCTAAGTAAAAAAAAAAAAAAAAAAAAAATTAGACCGCTGAAAGTTTTCGTTAAAAATAACGGGGTAAATAATTTGTTCACGTAAATGTAAATTATTTCACTTTTCTCCTTCCGTAGAACAAATTAGCCTCATGGAATTCGTAAATATATCATTCATCACATGTCAAGAGACGCGAAAGTTTATGACCTGCTTTGTTTTATTTTCAAATTACATCTTTTTGGCACAAAAGCTAAGTTAAGTTTGGTTCAAAATATTTTAAATAAACATTATAATTTCTGATTTTCTTAAAATAAGTTTTGAAAAAAATGATAATTGATATTTAAAAAAATTTCAAAGTCAGATTTCCAGTTTTTTTTAAAATGGAAAAAAATGGTCAATTTTGCTGACTCAAAAAAAACTAGATTTTTAACGAAAATTTCGGACGTGCTAGGAATGATTAAAAAATGGAAAAAAATACCCCAAAAATACTTTGACCTTTCCTCTTAATGAATAAACATTTAGACGATAAAATTTTGTTTTCGTCATGTTTGGCGTCTTTTTCATCATGCTATGCTCTTTTTTTAGCGATCTCGTGGAGGTACCTACATTAACACAGCCTCTACAGTGGCTCGAAAGTATCTCCGTTTGAGGTTGTCTGGTAGATCAGATTTTATAATTACACCCTCTTTTGATCAATGCGGCCCAGGCTTTAGTTCTTATAATTTTCACATCCTTTTCAGTAAAATTTATTTCGTTTCTGGGGTATTTGGCAGATTTTATGGATTCCCTGAAACGGTTTGTATTAAGCCTTGCCGTTTGAAGTCTATGAATTTCGTTTTAGTGGCAGTGACAGAGTCCAACAACCTTGGCAGCATTTTCTAGATGTAGGGGAACTGCGGCATCGATAATGATGCCTGCGGTGGTAGCTAGGTCAACTGTATAGTCAATATACGTCAACTTTTTTTTCAGGATAACCACTTGAGAACATACAAACATTATTAGAGAGACGAGAAAAAACACTCAACGTAATATATAAGAAAAATTAAAAACTGAATTATATATCTGTAATATTAAAATGGAGTATTTGAAAACGCCACATTTCTAATGCCGAAATAATGTGTCGTAGAAAGAACAGAGGGTTATATTCTCTGGTTCTTACAGTGTAATCTTCTTGAAAATTTGTTCACTAAAATATGTTTTAACACTTTTAGCCTTGCGTCCCTGTACAATTTTAACCCTTCTGCTTGAACTCCTGAATCAATATTCGCAAATTATTAGTATGTAATGTTTCACGGTAGATATAAAATAGTGTTTACCCACCGTTCAACCGGTAACTGGTCATTAAGTCATTTTTCTGAACCACCGGTAAAGCGGTCGTCATGGTTCAAAGAGTTAATGCCCTTCACAGAAGGAATTGCTTTGTTAGGATTATCCAGCATTTTAAAATACGTTATTCCAGTAAATTAAAATTACCTTATCTTTGTTGTCACTGTCAAAACCTGTCAGTCGATCCGAAATGCTTAGTTCTTCGTACTTCTCAGTATATTGCTGAGAGTCTGTAATACCCAACCCAGGGATTGAACACATATCCATATCATCAAATTGAAAAAAACAAAAAAAACAAAAAAAAACTCTTTAATCCGTTAAGCTATTGACCCGTGGCACAATCCTGTACAAATCTTGGGGACTAATATCCTGCCTGTTACTGACAACAGACAACCGTAGACGGCCGGAGATAACGACAGAGATGAGTTCAAATGTAAATAATGATAACTCTTCATCCGAGAAATTCGAACAGACAATGAAAATTAATGCAAATATCTTTTTTGTTGTGTTTCCCTAACAAGAAGTTGAAATTAGTCCAGTTGGATAGTTGCCGAAATTGACGATATTATATAGGAGAGATTTTATCATTTTAAATGATTACATTTTAAAACTTCCTGAGGACAAGAGTGGAATCGGCATATACAATAGAGAGAATAACTTGTAATTTTTTTTTTATATATTTATTTACTTATCTTAAATTAAACGATTACTTACCGATGAGAAAACAATTCAATAAAGTGCCCTAAAAAAAAAAAAAAATAAATATTAAACACGTTTCATGGATTATACAGCAATAAAAGCTTTGTACTTAAAAGAAAAAAAAAAGATTATTAGAATTCAACAGAAATGCATAATGAAGTGTATCATATAAATTAGGCGATTGTAGTAATATAGGATGATAAATATTCTTTTACAAGGCCCAAGAGTCACTCGAGGTAGAGAGTTACTGAATAAGCGCCAGCTTATGAGAATGTAGGAAAGATAACCGCTAATTCTAGACTTGAACAGATTAAGATTATAGTAATCGGGAAAGCATCCTATTAGGAGTTGATTACGCAAAGCCGTGGTTCGTAGGAAAAAGTTTCTCGAGTTGAACTTACATCTCACTAATGGAATACGAAGGCAATATGGACGGTTCGCTACAGTGGGTGTGGCATGGTTTGTGTCAGCCGTGAAGGTTAGAATTGGTAGAGTGGCTTGTGATTTTTGACTGTGGGGAAAAATAATTCATCACCCACAGGGACATGGAGATGCTTTTGGACTATCGAAACTGGAATGTGTAAACTGAGCAACTAAAATTGTTATAATATTTAATAAAAGAGCGTGAGAGATATTCAGTCTTTCTTCTCAAATCGCTAAATGAACCTTGTACTAAACGGCCACCCTTCTAGATTTTTGTACTAAAGCAGGTGCCCCCCCCCACCAAGGACTCTATCCTTGGACCTTCTTTGTTCTTAACTTTTACAAATGATCTTTCTGATGTCATCAGTTCTCATCTTGGTGTCTATGCTGACGACAAGTATTCAGTCATGTCTCGATAGTAAGTCAGATAATGTCGATACGGTCAAATGGGGAGCTGATCTATAAAAAGATGTCCTACAATCTGCCGTTAACTGAGGCTGAAAATGGCTTGTTAATTATAACGCCTCCAAAAAGAAGCATCTCTCGATTAATCAGCATGGCTGATGCTAACCTCCAGGAGTGTAGCTCGTTGAATATTCTCAGTGGACATGAAATAGAAAGATTATAGTGAATCCAGGTCTGCTGCTAAGAAAGTTGGTTCACTGTGTTCTGCTAGACATTTTTTTCTCTCCAGAATTTATCTTGCATATGTATAAGTTTACTATTCGTCCATACTTTGAATATTGTGACACATATGGCAGGGACTCCCGCTATATATTTATAGATTCTAGATAAAATCTAAAGAATCAGCAATATTATTGGTTCTTATGTGGCTTCTCGACTTCAGTGACTTTCGCACAGCCTTAATATACGTTTTCTGTGCCTTTTCTATAAATACTTTCAATGTAATTGTTCGGATGAACTCTTCGTTATGGTACGTAGAATGTATGACATTAAGCACAGTGTGGAATTCGCTTCATCAGTTTACAATTGAATTGACTAGATGTAACCGTAACTTTTATGATAACAGCGCCTTTTCTCGCACTTTTCACTTGTGAAACTCTTCCAGGTAGATGCTTTCCAGCCAACATTGATTTTCAAAAATTTAAATGCAATATGAATCGTTGACTACTATTTTTTCATTAATTTTCGATTGTTCTCGTCCCTTAATGTTTCTCATGTTTTCTTATTCTTTCACAAACAGCAAACCCTTATATTTTAGTGGCTTTCCAGCCTTGCATGGGGTGAAATGAATAATATACTGGATGTAAGATAAAAATTGTCCACATCGTGTAACAGCATGCAATAATTGTCCATCCCACAAAATGTCTAATATTTAAAAAGTCACTAAAACTTTTGAGTGTCTTTTTCCAGATTTTCATATATATATATATATATATATATATATATATAAAATAGTCTTGACCGAATTTTTCGTATTAAACGCTGAAAACCCTTTGAGTTATTCAGCTAGAAAGAAAAAAAAAAGATTAAAGTCATTTGTATCAGTCCCAACTGAGCAATGTTGAGAGGAAAATATCATTCAGGCCTTCAGTAATGATAGCAACATTCATACGCTGGCTTCCATCTTCAAAGTTCATTCAAGAACCATCAAAAGAACGGTGAGTAATTTTAAAAAAGAGGGTACATTGGAGAGGAAAACTGGACCAGGGGGGGTCAAAACAGGAAGAGGTATCATCATTTCATCTTAGAGCTAAATGCATTCTTATTGTTCAAAGTAGAGTTCAATAGTATTGTATAAACCTTGGAGACTTCTAGTAAAATATCTTTAATAATTTCTAAGATACAACGGCTCAAATCTTAATCTAACAATTCGACAATTTTACTATTAAATTAGGTGTGTATATATATATATTAATAATAATAATACATATATACATACACACACTGGCCGTTAAATCGGTTATTTTCAAATGTTCTGTTAAATTCATGCCCACTGTTTCTATCGCATCAAATTGTAAGAAATAAACAGTGGTTTGAAAGTTATACTCATTAATTAACTGTTTTCTTGGTTTATACGCAAAAACCGGAAAATTCTGTACGAAATAAAATCTTACGTCCATTGGCAATACCATTGCATAGAGAGCAAAAAAAAAATTTTAAATAATTTTATGTACTAGAAATATTTCTGTCTGATCCTTATAGTAACTCTTACGAATTGAGGCAATTTTATGTGAAGACCAAACATTAAGGAACGGATTAACTGGACGCAGACAAAAAATTAAAAAAAAAGAATCAACTTACAATGACAGCATAGATGAGCACACTGCCGAGGTTGTCGTAGAAAATACTGTCGTTCAAACTGTAAGCCGCTTCCAAGATGATTCTGGAAAGACAACGTAGAAGACGAGATGAAGCAAATGAAGATAGTCGTTGAATAAAGGACTGGGTCGTAATTCTAGCAAAGAAAATGTACTTACGGAGGTAAAAGGTAGACAAAGAATTCATGAGGGGTGAAAAAATCTGGAAATGTGCTAGAGTATCCTGAAAAACTAAAAAGAAATTTCGATTATTAAGAAGCATTCAAGAGAAAAAATCTCTCCAGTCATATCAAGATAAATATCACAGACTCAGTTTAGAATAAGATTCACTTACAGACTTTAATTCTTTATAAATAGTGAGTATTGTGGTACATGCAATGAACAAGATATCAGTGGTTTCAATATGTATTCAGTTGTATAAATTTGTATAGATTAGAAATATAGCTTATAGAAAAATAAAAATCCACATATTTCTAACTGAAATTTCTTTCACACGTGTGAGAGGAAAAAGAAGGAAAAACCTAAAGACAAATGTAGGAGAAAAGAGAAATGAAACAGAATTATGGAAAGGACAAAAAGAGAAACAGAAACGAGGATAAGAAAAGGAAAACAAAACTGAGGCATGGAAAGGACAAAAAAGAAACGAAACAGTGGCATGGAACGGACAAAAAAAAAAAAAAAAAAAAGAAAAGCGAAACGGTGGCATGGAATGGACGAAAAAAGAAACAAAATAGTAGTGTGGAACGGACAGAAAAAGAAATGAAACCTAGATTGGAAAAGGACAAAATTGAAACGAAACAGTGGCATGGAACGGACGGACAAAGAAACGAAACGGTGGCATGAAATGGACGAAAAAAGAAACGAAACGGTGGCGTGGAACCGAAAAAAAAAAAAAAAAAAAAAAACGAAACTGTAGTATGGAATTGACAAAAAAAAAAAAAAAAGAAAAAAAATGAAACCTGGATTGTAAAAGGGCAAAATTGAAACGAAACGGGGATATTGAAAGGACAGAAAAGAAACCATATGAAAAGGACAAAAAGAACCAGAACTGTGTCACGGAACGGACAATAAAAAAAAAAAAAAACGAAACTAGAATATGGAAATGACAAAAAAGAAGCAACAGAATATGACAGAAAATAGAGAAATGTAAAGTGATGCCGAGTGATAGAAAAATCCATTAATTTTATACGTGCTTGTTGAGCTATGGATTAACAAGTTAGTCCCACATTTTCGAGTCTTACTGCTCTTTACTTGTCCATCTATGTGCTAAACTAAAGTTTATTAAATTTTGATAAGGAACCACTTCTGAGAAGCAAATAAAACTTAAACCTTACAAGTTGTTTTTTACCTTTATTTTTGCTTGGTATTTGAGAAACACAAAAAGCACTGATATAACAATTGCAACTTTAGCCCAGTACAAAGTTCTCGACATTCCAACTGCGGAATGAGCATGGACAAGGTATGCTGTTCCAGCAGTATAATGCCTGCCCAACTGAGGCCTGTGCTACGCAAGATATTCAACAACTCTCCTATCTGGCATGATCATTGAGGGTGGTAATATAGAAGAGCTATTTTCTTACAAATAAATGACAATAACAGCTAAAACTAACATATAGTAATAGTATATTCTTTATGTCGCATTTAAAATTATGATGCAATATTTTCCTTAAATGATAAAAAAAATATTTATTTCTCAGAGATACGCCGGTACAGAGATCTTGAAATAAGACGCAGACACAGATTAGTGAATATGTATGACACTTTCAATTAACCCCAATTACAACATTGCGTCATGTGATGCTATTTGCTATTTGCATAATCGTGTGCAGGAGAAGATGAAGGCCTTTGCTGACGGAAAAGAAAGATCAAACTGTGTATTAACATAGGCGCTTAATATTACTGATTTTCTTTAATGCCATGTTCATTCAGGATGGAGGTGATCATGGCTCTCCACAGATTCCGATTTGTATTATCAGTGAATTTCCATTATTTTTATAGGGAGCAGGGGAAAAACACTGGTTTCCTGTCGTCTTTGTCATGGATTTTAATTCAGAAAAGACAATAAAAGAACAGCTTTCCGAAAGACAAGTAATTGGGATTGAATTTAAATTTTTGAAGATCGTCGTTGGCAGGGAAGTAAGAAACTGAAAGCGAGAAGTGCGAGAAAAAACTATTGGAACAGAACGATTATATCTATTTCAACAATAAAACGATGGGACCTAATAACCAATCTAGTAGTAAGCATTCTGACGAGGTAACATGGATTAGAGCTCATTACGATAATTGCAATGAAACTATTTACAGAAAAGACAGAGGGAAGCCATGTAGTGACTGAAGTAGAGATGCCATGTCAGGACTGATAACATTACAGACCCTTTATCAAGAAAGTATCTGTAATATATATATATATATATATATATATATATATATATATATATATATATATATATAGAAAGCATTTTCATTGATGCATATTTCATAAAATAATATAGACAAGTTTTGTCAATTTTATGTCAATAAAACTTTAAAAATTACGCATCAATATGGCGATTTTATTTCGGCTTTTAATGATAATGTTATTAAGCGTAGACGACATGAAAAGAATTTACATAAAATAAATAGACAAAACTTGTCTATATTATTTAATGGAACATGCATCAAATATATATATATATATATATATATATATATATATATATATATATATATATATATTAATGATATTGTTTAGTAATCCGTATGGATAATTCCAATGAGGATATAATCCAGAGAGCTCAATGTAAAGACAGAGCAAACATCTGGTGTCTCTCGCTATATATATATATATATATATATATATATATATATATATATATATATATATGTATGTATGTGTGTGTGTATGCACACTCGACTCTCCTGTCGAATTCGACGTATGAGGGTCAAGCAGATCAGTTCGCAGGAAACTGACAGCCCGACAACACCACATGAGATTTGATTATAGTGTTGAACATTTCGTGCAGGAAGGCCAAATACAGAGACCTGGTGCACAAAGTGCCACAAGGTCTCCAAAAGAACCTCCGCAGGTTTTGAATTCAAAGTTGTCCTTCTCCTAGACCAGTTGGCATCCAAAGCTATAGAACCCAGTCTGTCCTGCTATAGAACCCATAGCTGTAGGGAGAAGAAGGGGAGTCACACTTTTCCCAAGGGTATTAGCACCTAAGTGAATGTAATGGATTCGACTTGAATTCGAACTCGGCTCTCCGATTCCTCAATCCGCTATCCATTACTCCACCGTGCCTGCCTATCTCTCTCATATATATATATATATATATATATATATATAGACCATATATATATATCAGCAATATTCGATTCACGGACGAAGGATAGATTTATAGATGGGCAAGGTGGATTCTAACCCTATTAAATGATTAAATATAATCATTCCACTTCGTGTCAATGGGAAACGTGAAACTGGATTGAAAATAATGAATTATTTCATGGTACCTGGAGATTCGTTTCTCCAAACAGCACTAAGACATTTAGCATCTTGGACACATGCTGATGTCTGCAGCACTAGATAATGAAAGTGAGTAATATTTGGGTGACCCACTATGGGAGGTACAATCTTATATGGTTTATGTTAAAAAAAAAAAAAGAAAGAAAAGAAATCTAGTGCCATATGTGTTCCCGTGACATGGCAAATATCTACAATTCCTCAAGCATAATATTATTCGACCTGTGGTCGCTGGTATGAGGGAGAAGACTTATCGTAGTTCAAAAGTAGTAACATATATAAATACGTTCATTTCCGGGTTATATATTAATTAAACCTAACTTCTGGTACCTTTTAATGTTAATGAGGCAATCGGTGAAGACGTAACTCACCGTAGTAGCTTATTGTTTTGATGTAGCTTGTTAACCATAACGCAATGTTTGGCACTGAGAATGCAAGATTAGAATAAAAGGTTTACTTACTAAATGATTGCACCAATGACAATTCCGAGAAATATTTGAAGGCTGAAATAAACAAAGATAAAAATGCTGATTAAAGGACGACATCATATTTCGTAAAGATGAAGAAAAAAAAAGAAAGAAAAAAAAGAGTGTGGCCTGAAAAGTTCATAGGTTGACGATGAAGGGATGAGGTTAGAGCTGTGAAATCTTGTCTGCATTATTTTCAACTATTTTTATTTATATCTGCATTGTCCCTTCCATCTGACTGCCCAGAGAATACTTCAAAATAACTTATAGCGACTTCTCCTGAAAATAGACAGAATTTAACAAGTGATGTTATTAAATTCCTGCAGAAAAATGATTTAAACCCCAAACTGACATGTTTGCTACATTAAGGGGATGATACTCCAGCTTTATAAACAGTTCAAAAATAGGCAGCTGGATTTAGGAGGGGAATGGAGAATCTTTAAGATGACTAAAGGTCTGGACGTACTGTAAGTGCCCACACCGAGGAAAATACTGACCGTGTTCACCATATGCTGATCAATGACAGGCGGTGGCCAATGATATTAGCATATTCGATGAGAGAGTTGAAAATATTCTGCTGAATGAACTTGGCATGATGAAGGTTTCTGCTAGGTGGGTGCCACGTCTTCTGACACCTGATCAAAAGCGCACCAGGCTGATCACATCACGGAAAGATCGAACTTTGTTTGAGGTAAATCCAGCTGGTTTTCTTGAACTTTTCCTAACCAAGGCTGAGTGTTCGGTTCATCACTTTGAGCCAGAGACAATCCATGTAATAAAAACACCCCTCCTCATTTGCTCCAAAGAAGGCCAAGGTTGTTTCATCTGCAGGGAAGGTGATGGCCACAATTTTTGAGGATGCAAAAAGCCTTTGCGTTTATTGACTAATTTTAACAGGGCCACACCATCAATAGAGATTACTATGCCAACAAGATCAAACGCGCAGGACAACTGTCGAAATAGGTGTTTTATTAGAATAATGCTTCAACACACAAGCCCTTGACTTCAGTGGCTGTTATTAGTGACTGGGTGATCACCTTCCCTTTCCTCCGGATTTGACTATCATCTGTTCCCTAAAATGAAGAGAACATTTGACTGGGAGATAGTATCACAGTGATGATGGTCGTATAAGTTAGTGATTGATTTTTTTTTTTTTTGGCAAACAGGATGTAAGCTTCTTCATAAATGGGATCCAAGAACTCCAACACCAACGGAAGAAGTGTGTCGACAGCAAGGGCAGTGGGGGGCTATGTTGAAAAATAAACCTCATTTAGTCACATTCCATGAGAATATCTTGATCAGTCTATGAACGTTTCAGCCGACCCTCGTACATGGTAAAGTTAACAGTTTCCGTTCAGGAAACTTTAATTGACCGAACAGTCAGCAAACTTTAATTGACCGAACAGTTAAGTGTTACTGTCATTTGATAATTTATAAAATCTCAAAATATTTTTTCCGGAAATTAAACTTCAAATGTCCACTAAATATAACTATTTCTGATATTGATGGGATTTTGATTCCAAATCTTTTGCTTTTGGTCCTGTGGAAAGTTAACAGCTTGAGTAAATAACTATTTTTTCTTCTAGTTACGTACTACTCACTATTTTTCTTTATTTTCACTGCTGTAGGAATTCTTCAAGTGATAGGAGTTTTGTTATTTTGTAAAGCTTTTCGTTTGTGATTGTATAGCGCCAGTCTATAGGGTCCGATGAAAATGCTGGAAAAATGTTCGATTAATTTTACCGTTCCTGCTATACTCTATCTTTACAAAAGCCCTGATCATACAACAAATTGAATATTGCTGCCATATTTGGGCTGCAGTTGCCCAGTATTCACTTGTCTGTCTCTTGTTCAAAAGCGACTACGCAGTCTTGTGGGTGATCGTTTTCCAGCCAAGAACCGATTCGTCGCCAACAAAACCTCGCAAGCCTGTCGTTACTTTATCACTATTTCCATGGCTACGTTCCTTGGTTCCACCAGCCCTGACCATTGCAGCTGGGACCCGCCGTTCCACGTACACAAGGATGAATCACCCTCATTCCCTGCGCGTTCAGTTAGTAAGACGTGAGATCCACTCGGCCAAATTATTTCCATAAAACTAACACCGAGGCGAATCAGTCTCATTTCCTCCATGTTCCAAGTGTAAGAAGGAATTTCCATTGAGAGAGATTTTATCCAAGAACTGCCACTTTGGGGATCAGGTTCACGCGTGGGTGCTCACCTGAATACTACAATCTTAAGTTCTTCATGTTAAGAGAGAAGAGTCATCTATTCTTCCAGCCTCCTCCTCTATCACACATCTAATTCAGTATTAATATTTTAACTAACTATCTTGTGTGGCTCTCGAGCCTTGTAGCATTTGAAATTTAGTATTAAAAACGCTTTAATTTTTATTTTAATTGTTATGGATTTTCCGACTAAGCCAGGAATCACTGTTTGAGCCCAGAGTAGAAACAGTAATGTCGCAACATAATCTTAACATTACTTTATTGTGGCATACAAAACCAAAGTCAATAATAAATATAACCTTTTTTTTTATGTGCCACGTCCTTTCAGGATGTAGGCGATTATGGCTCTCCCCAGACCACGTTCTGTCATCCACTTGCTTAAGCCCCCAGGTATGTCACGCGTCGTTTTCCTTTGTCTCTCTTTTCCTCTATTCGACTCGTGAGTATCAGGTTATCCAGACCCTCCTACCTCATTATGTGTCCCAGAAACTTTAGCTGCCTCTTCCTGATGTCAAGTATAAGCGTTCCCCTTGTTTTCTACGTCTCTAAGACTTCATTGTTGCTCACACGCTCGGTTCAGGATATCCTTAGCATCCTTCTGTAGAACCACATCTCTCTCGCCTCGAGTCTATTCTTCAAGAAATTGTCCAACATTCGCTGCCGTAAAGAAGGACAGATGTCACGTAACAGCCTAAGTATTCTTTTCTTTGTTACCAAAAAATCCTCCCGTCTCGCAATATTTTGTCCAGGACACATTCCCCGTAAAAATATGACCTAGAGTGACAAAATAAAACAATCTCTATAATTTTACTGTCTCACTTTGCAAATGTATTTATCTCTATCCTTCTATCATCATATACAGAGTATTTCCGTAAATATCCGTTTGAAACATTTTTTTCCATTGCAAACGAGACCCGTCGTTCCACACACAAGGATGAATCATCCTCATTCCATTCGTATCTCAGAACTAAGAAGTTCCACTTGAACAGCTTCTTCCCAAGAACTGAAGATTTGTGAAACAGGCTCTTGACGGGATGTCTCCCCAATCCCTACAATCTTGACATCTGTAGGGGTTGTAGGATAGAAAACAACCATCCACAAGGCTGTGAAACAAGGGAATACGGTTGATTGAATCCTGTGTACATGGCATAGTGGGTCTTAGCTGTAAGGGTCTGAAATGGTGGAACTAGGGAATGTATCTTGTCTGAACATTTGGCATGGAAATAGCGATGGAGTAGAGATAGACTTGCGACAATTCGTCTGTGGAAAAAAAAGTTGTAGAATGGAAAAATAATTCAAAATCGTCTACATGGCCTTGCGGATGATGAATTATCAAGGTTAGAAAGGGCGAACTGTGCTGCAATACTACAGATCTGACATGGCACTTGTAAAAGAGTCCAACGGAACGATTCCGGTATATAATGAAGCAGTACAAGGAACTGACCATTTTCCAGCGTCTTTAGCGTTGACTCGTATGTACGTGTTCCTCTTGAGGCCTAAAGTGAACGTCTAAGTCTTCTAGATCCATTTCTTTACGTTTGTACTAATAAACATGAAAAGCATAGTCTAAGAAATGCTTAAACAAATATGCTGTTAATTTAAGATTAGGCAGGCAACCTAAAAATGTGGTTTCAATTTAACGCATTCACAGCTACCTTACACGATGTAGCATTTTATGGCGTAATTTCATGAATGCGGAATTACTCTATGTTCATTTTGGCTGATATACTCACAACGTTTCGGTCATTGTACCATCCAGCCTTCTTCAGATGTCCGTCTTCGAAATTGGTAACCTCTTAAGAATTTCAAAGACTTTATTGAAGCCAAGAGGGTAAAATTGTTCGCATTCGGCTTCCCACGCTTGGGGAACATTTCGTATCATTTAATATCACTAACCTTATTCCTCTTTGTCACTTGAGAATATGACTTCAGCGCTATCAAACGCAGGTACTGAACTCACCGCCAGCAACATTTTTATACCTTAGGCCATGGATGTATAAGGGTTTCAATTCAAAACTCAAAAACATCTGAAGAAAGTCAGAGAGTACAACTGCCGAAACGTTGTTTGTATTATCACATAAAGATGAATAGAGTAGTCCGAAAGGAAAGGCGTCTAAACTCGGGCAGAATAAAATATGCAAATTTATGTCCAATGTCGCAATGCAGAAACTGATTTCAGCGCAGTGGAATAAGTTATTTATATTGGTAAAAATAAGATCGTGGCCTGGGCACAAATAAGTGTCTAGAAACCAGTTCACATTAACGAGTTTTTACTATTTTTTCCTGCGTCAAAAGTGATTCTTGATATGGTTAATGAACGAAATCGATTCAGGAACGAGGCGGAATGCCTCCGGCCGGTAAAGAAAGGGAAAGAAAGCGGCGGGGAGCCTCCGGCCGGCAAAGAAAGGGAAAGGAAGCGGGAGGGGGGAAGCCTCCGGCCGGCAAAGTAAGGGAAAGGAAGCGGGGAGGGGAAGCCTCCGGCCGGCAAAGAAAGGGAAAAGCAGGGGAAGCTTCCGGCCGGCAAAGAAAGGGAAAGGAAGGGGGGAGCTTCCGGCCGGCAAAAAAGGGAAAGGAAGCAGGGGGGAGCCTCCGGCCGGCAAAGAAAAAAAAAAAAGAGGGAAGCCTCCGGCCGGCAAAGAAAAGAAAAATAGAGGGAAGCCTCCGGCCGGCAAAAAAAAGAAAAGGAGAAGGGGAGGGGAAGCATCCGGCCGGCAAAGAAAAAAAAAAAGGAGAAGGGAGGGGAAGCCTCCGGCCGGCAAAAAAAGAAAAGGAGAAGGGAGGGAAGCCCGGCCGGCAAAGAAAAGAAAAGGAGAAGGGGAGGGGAAGCCTCCGGCCGGCAAAGAAAAGAAAAGGAGAAGGGGAGGGGAAGCCCCTGGCGGGCAAAGAAAACAAAAGGAGAAGGGGAGGGGAAGCCTCCGGCCGGCAAAGAAAACAAAAGGAGAAGGGGAGGGGAAGCCTCCGTCCGTCAAAGAAAAGGAAAGGAGCGGGGTCGGAAGCCTCCGGCAAAGAAAGGGAAGTCTACTGTCGGCAAAGAAAGGGAAGTCTACAGTCGGCAAAGAAAGGGAAGCGGGAAGTCTTCGGCCTGGAAAGTAAAAACAAAATATGTTATTTCGTCATTTGGTGAGATTTGGGAAAAAGGTTCGCTCAAAAGCTCTAGAAACACGAGAGGATTCTCGACGATTAATGGTAATCACTTCATTATTTTACGCTATTACAGTCTAAGAAAGGCTCCATGGAACCGCTCTACTTTCGTATTGTGAAAGGGAGAGAACATGTAATCCTAGGGATAATGAAATCTTCTCACTTCAAATTCTGACTAGATGAAGAATCATTGTTTTTCATATTTTGCCGAGACCAGATCATTCCAGCCCACTTCCGTGTTTACATATATACTCATTGCTATAGACGTTATTGGTTACACGTGTTTAAGTAGACATCTGTCTTTTCTTTTAAAAAGGTAAAATTAATGTCTACTGGCTAAGAGATCGCTATGTCCTAATAAAGACAAAGTATCTCCAATATGAATCGAATCTATATTTCCCTTTTTAATGAACGAAACTGCTTTCAAACCAAGTGTGCTTTTTGGGGAAACGTGCATTTTTTGGATTTATTTAACCATGGTTTCGAAGATATAAGTGTTAAAGATAGGGGAATAAGAAGAAAAAGCTAAGAAAGAAATAATAGAAAATACGAGAGAGGAGGCTGTGTAGTGGACAGAGTAATATGGTGAGCACTGTTTACATTATTCGGACTATTGTCCTCATCTTTGTCGCCATATTTATTACAACGTTTCGGCCGTTGTACGCTCCGGTCTTCTTCAGGTGGTTGGAATGTCGAACTGAACTCTTCATTTCGCTCACTGGGGTAGACTGTTCTAGTTTCACGTGCCATGTTTAATGGATGTCAGTTATTAGTTATTTTCCTGTTAATTCACCTCTCCAAGTTCTCCACGGACTAAACCGGGTATTGAACTCACACTCTTCGGGTCAATATGGCTCTTATGTTCTTATTGCTGTTTGTGATTTAATTTCTTACTGCCCGTTTTCTATTTTTAAATTCTAAAATAAATATTTTGGATATTTCGGGGGAACTGAAACAGATTAATTAATATTCCATTAATTTCAGTGGGAATAAATGGTTTGTAATACGTGTAATTTGCAATACGAGTTCAGTCAGGGCACTAATTAAACTCGTACTGCGAGGCCCTATGGTATTCACAGAGATATCTCGATTTTGTAATACAGAATCTAGCTACGAAAAGACTCACAGAGGGTAGATGTATCCCGCCGACATTCTCCGAAATGATCTAAAGACAAAATTTAGCAAAAATTGATATATGAAAGCTTTGAGTGCTTCAAGACCTCAAAAAATAAACATGGGTTTCCTTTCTTGGACGTTCAAGGTCGTGGTTTGATATACAATAGCTTACTTGAATTTCACATATTTGTTTCTATCAAACAATATTTGCATGAAAAAAGACACACACATGCATATATATATATATATATATATATATATATATATATATATATATATATATATATATATATATATATATATTAGTCATATGCATATATATATATATATATATATATTAGTCACGCACAGACTGTTTCGCTGTATCACAACTCATCAGCATGACTAGACGTTCGGTTACCTCTAGCTAGAATCGAAACCAGAATCAACTGACGTCAGTTGGGGATTCTACCACTAAGCCGTTGGCGCACGGCAGGGATGAAGTGTATCAAAAAAATATTTCTACAAAATTTGGAGGCGGGTTCCTCACACACAAAAAAAAAAAAACAAGGACAAAAGTGCATGGTAATGGACGCGAGGCTGCACGGCTGTATCAGATTTTGTTTCCAGAGCGAAGGCAGCCGAGTCATTCAATCTTTGCTGCTGTTTATCGTCGCGTTGCCGAGACAGGATCCGTGGTATTACAAACTATGAGTCGATGAAGACCGAAATCTCCTCGTACGCCTGAACATGCAAAGTATCCGGGTATCAGCACACGCCCATTACCATGCACACGGCCATATGTAAAATTCATATTTGCCTGCTCACGATATGAATATTCTGCCATTGTTAAACAGAATATTTCTCAGTTAACTCACTACTACACACGTTAAACAATGAAGCGAGACTAGCCACAAATGTACACGAATGACAAGTATAATCTAGTCTACATGGCAATACAGCGATTTCTACCGTAAACTTTCTTTTAAACTTAGTAACTCAAAAAGAAAGGATTTGCAGACATATGTTTATATAGACTTTTTGTCTTTTTGGGGGGCGTAAGGCTCCTGCCCCCAGTATGTGTAAAATTATTTTTTTTATATATATATATATATATATATATATATATATATATATATATATATATATATTTATACACACACACAGGTTGTTTTTTACTGCCACAACAACTCAAAATTGATTTAAATATAAGGACCATATTTCCCATTTATTGTTAAAAATAGATACAAAAGTATCTCGTTTAAGAAAAAAAAAAGGGGGATTTAAAGCGTCTTTTGGCCTACAGTTCTTCAGAAAATAATCATCGGCAGTATAAAACAAAGTTGATAAGAAACATTATCAACGACCGATGTTAAAAACTACAGATTACCAAGATGTAATAAAAGGGGGAAATTAAAGGAAGAGAAAAATACCTTATGAGTGCTAAATATTTTCTAGGTTAAGCAGTAATCTCTCCGAATAGGGCCAACCTGAATTTTATATATATATATATACACACACATACATGAGAGAGAGAGAGTACTGTCAATCGTAGCAAAATTCTCAAACAAGTTTGTTTTGTATTTGGAAATGCTTGAAAATTCACGCACATAAACCATTGCTTATTAGTTTACACTATATCAATTTAGGAGCTTCATCAGAATTCTGTTCTTTCGGAAAGTGGGGATTTTTGGGAATATCTCATGTAACACGAAATGAAATATTAAACGGATTCATTATTTTTCAGAGAAAATATTATCAGCTGTGCCAGATGTGTTTTTGAGTGTTATTTCTGGTAAACAGGAAAGTCGTCTTGGCTGTACTTGAATACAAAAGGAAGCTATGTCAGTGCCTCGAAAATCAGATAATTTATCTACAACACCTTTCTATGTGGCTTCATTGTAATTTGTTTTCTTCACAACGCTTCATCCTATATACCCTCTGGCCTTCTTCAGAGTAAACGTCCCGTAGGCTCACCTACAAATGCCACTGATGTTTCGTTTTGTTTCTCTTCTCTATGCAACGTTCAAATATACAATCAGAGTTAAAAAGTCAGTTATTTTTCTTATTGAGATTTTTCCTGAATCTGTCAGCAGCATTTATCTACAGAGTGAATTAAACTGGTGAAATAAGTTTAAGAATACTTAACCATGATACAATAATTATTTATGTGATGCGTTGTATAAATGGATTAAAAATACACTTACCATGATTCTGGGATGATGGAAGATAAAAACCCGGCATGATGATATGCTGAAATGAAATAAAAGATTATTTTAATCCATCAGGAAATGAAGAAAAAATTTAAAAATTAATAAATAAAATTTTAAAATATAAAAAAAGGATATATTAATATTCCCGTATGGCACTAAAACTTTACTGATTAATCTATTCTTTTTCAACTGATATCAATTAAATCCTACACCATACTTCCGATTCATGATTCATTATCGTTTCTTACGGGCTTCCATATTTTCCCCGTTTATTTTTGTTGGTTCTAAATGTGGTTTTCTTTTTGCCATGCGTAATACATGCTTAGGCGATCATGTAGCTTTCGATACATGACTGAGGACGCAGATTTTTTTCTGCCTTAGACTAGTTGCTATCCAATGATAGAAGATTCATACCTTTCCCAAGTGAATGTGATGGATCTGACTGGAATTTGAACTCGGCTCTCCGATTTCTCAATCCGAGCCGCTGTCCATTACTCAACCGTACCTTTGTAATTTTAATTATTTACATCATTAAGTATTAATAAGCCAATACTGCACACATCTGCAATCCAGTAAAGAAGATTTAGCTATATTCGAATTCCTTACATAAAGTATTGTCTATTATTCAAATTTTCTTTTAGATTTAATCTTAATTTTATTGGTATAAAATGACAATTGGGAAAAAAAATATTAGATTTTGCAGACGCGTTTTGTCTTCCGACTTGTCCATTGCAAAAAGGAAATCGAAATATCTTTGTTGTTATAGTTACATTAAAAAAATTCAAATTTAAAAAGATAGACGCTTCTGTCTAAGCCTTTTTCTGGTTAATGTAAATTTCCTTTATACTTTTTTTTCCATGTCGACAATACAGTTAAATTCCCGGATCAATTCTGTGGACAAGACATAAATTGGTATAAAATGACATGGATAAAATATCTCTTAGTATAAAGGAAATTTACATTTAGGGTTGGAAGGGAGGGGGAGGAGAGAGAGGGTTGGAGAGGGGAGGAGAGAGAGGGTTGGAGGGGAGGAGAGAGTGTGAGCGACATTTCAAATCGTTTTTCGCCTGTGGAACTCTTTTCCGTTTTCTTGCTTCCATTCTACCCACAGACACTGGAGGTGAAGAGAAGACGACATGCGTGCACCAACGGGGAAAAGATAAGATAATGAAGAACAGAAGGAGAAAAAGTGAAACAAAAAAAAAAAAAAAAAGTACTCTCACTCCATCCTCCAGTCGAGTCTATAATTTACAAGATGGAAAACAGTTCTGCAATATCTTACCAAGTTTGCTCAACATGGCGAACATGACAAAACAGGTGATGATGAAAGGACTGGCGACTTCTTCGAAATTAATACCAGCGATTGTTACGGAGACGATACTGGTGACGTTTCGTCCAAGACCAGACTCCAAAGTGTGTTTGCTGGAACTTGCAGAGTGAAACTGGAAGAAAAAGCAGCTAAATCCCAGCAAATACCGCCACAGTCGGCACTTGCCTCGTCCGACGTGCCAAATACACTCCATCTGCAAAATGAAAAGAATCCAGATGAAAATAATTCGAAAAGTTTTTTATTAAATATTTTACAAGGCGATCCTACCAAATATGTTTCTATGGTGTCCATTCATCTTCTATTTGAAATTCAAGACGAGGAATTTTTTTTTAAAGTGAAAACTTGGCCACGCATAATATTTTTGACAGAGTAGCCATTAATTTTTTCAGTTCGTTTGTTTGCCAACATTCTCCAGATTCACATGCGAATTGAGGATCCTCAGCAGCTGAAACATGTAAAATGGACAGTACATAGAACTCGAAAAGAAAAAAAACAAGTGACATTAACAAAATGTCGACGTTCCAAGAAAGAAACCACCGTCAATATTAGGCACATCTTTTTAAATTAGTTCACCCCCAAGTAAGGTGATAATGCCATTATGAGGCAAGGAGTGAAAGAGAATGAGAAAACTTTACAAGGAACCGGAAACCCGACCCTAAACATGAAACATCTACTTCCTTTTCGAAAGACCGAGGAGAAGTGTAAACCGGACGATAATGGAGAAACCTATTTTCCTGAAATTCTCTTTTAAGAGAAAGATTTTATAAATTTCAATCGAAAGTGTCACTGGCTGCTTGGTTAACGTTTTGGAGACGGGGCTTCATATGGAGTTTCAGTGCCAAGACAGAGCCCTTTTCACATGGTCTCCCTTGGAACACAAATAATTGATGTAAAATAACAGAACACAGGAAAGTATCATAAAAAACCACAATTGAAAGGCCCATATGTGCAAAATATTCAAGAAGTAATCTGATTGGCTGGTCTTTGTACCAGCTAGCTAATCTTGAGGTATCTATAAAAAATATAGCGTGTCCACATTTTTTCTATAACGTTTTGTAAAAATAAAAACTGCAAAGGCTCTATCAAGGCGTGACTATATATTATATTATATTATGTACAACACAGGGTTAGTATAAAAATTCGTGCTTATCCTGATCACAAATTTCCAGGTCGATGGATAGGGCGTGGTAGACCATTGCGCTGGCCTTCACTGCTTTGTGATTTGACGCCCTGTGATTACTGCTTATGAGAGGATATGGCGCTGCGGAACATGCTATAGCAAGGGAGTTCATGATATCAACTACCTCAAAGACAATACGGCCTGTAGTATGATCTATTACCAATGAAATGAGTGGTCGGGATTAAATTCTACTGTTGCTAGCTGGTTTTTGTGTGCTAAACCTTGATGGCAAAGTTGCTGATACTAACCTCCAAGAGCGCAACTCTGTGATTTCTTGGTTTCACATTTTCTAATGACATCAAGCGGAGTGGTTATATGATGGAATCAGTTGCTCTGTCGGCTGTAAAAATAGTTAGTTCAGGGTGTCGTGCAAAAAAAAAAAAAAAAAAAAAAAAAAAAAAATTTCACGTCAGAATCAATCTTACACATTTAAAAATCTAACATTCGTCTGTGCATTGAATATTGCTGTCATATCTGCTCCTGCTATATATCCCGAAAAAATCCAAAGAAGCTTATGTAATGTTATTAGGCCTAACCTGGTATCTCGACCGTATGGATTTAAGCGTACTACTAGATTAGCAATTATTAGTCATCATTTTACTGTTGAACTAGTTAGATGTAATTGTAAGTCCTATTATAACGGTTTTTTTTCTCGACTTCCAAAATTTAAAAGCAAAGTCAATCGCCATCTTCTGTCTTCCTGAAATCTGTTCTTTTATTGTTATTTCTCTTCAATAAAGTCTTTGCAGACTATTTCCAGTCACAGGGACCCTCTTGCGTCTTAGTGCTATTATTGCCTTGCTTGGCGTTAAATGTTATAAAATATATGTATATATGTTGTAAGGAAATATAAATAAATCTTAAGCCAAGCGCTTGCTTAAAAAGTTATGCGAACAAAAATTGCTCAATATACTTAAAAAAATAAATAATAAAAATGACGAAATTGGTTGTTGAAGCCGCGAGAATGGTAATATTCTGATTTCTATCATATATATATATATATATATATATATATATATATATATATATATATGCATGCATCTTTGTTACGACTTCCCTCAACTTACAACCTTGATCCACACAAGCTCTTATGCTTAGCGACCCATCTCTCTAATAATTTAATATGTGAACTATCTCCTCTCTCTTGATATGTAATAGCAGTCGCTAAACGCAAAGAAAATTAGGTCAAATTGAAGACCATGCCAACAGATGGAAGCCAAAGCTAAAAAAAAAAAAATAGATTCTCATGCAAGTGACGAATCTCGTGACTAGATACGAACGATCAAGCGGGAAAAATCGACAGAACGTAGATCGGCGACGAATCTTGAAGGAAATGGAGTGTATATTAAATCCCCATATGATTTTACTTTCCGAATTAAAGAGAAGGAATGACGACCCTAACTCATACGAAACTTCACAGAATTAAGTGGAGACGAGTCTTGCGCAGACAATTCCTCTTTCCCTTGTTACAGTCAAGAGAGATCGCATGACAAGAAACGAACTCTAATTTAAGTTAACACTATGCAGATTACATTAAGGGCCTAGGTGAATGGCGAAACGTGACCGTCACCTAAGAAACACATACGTGGCATATGTAATTGGACGAAGGATCCGAACCATGAATTCTACACGGCTAAACTTATTACTTACAGAGCATCGAATCTTCATAAGCAAATGTAAGATTTCTAACGTACCGAAAGAAAGTAAACAGACGTTAAAGTAGAAATACATCAAAGACACCGCTACATGAATGAATGAATTGGTTTGAAAGTAAAAGGGACAAAGAGAATCATTAGAAAAAAAAAAAACCTTATTTTATTTCTGAAGAAAAATATATATATTATAATATATATATATATATATATATATATATATATATATATATATATATATATAGAGAGAGAGAGAGAGAGAGAGAGAGAGAGAGGGTACCTCCAAAAATTCGATAGAAAATTAGCATACCATAACGAAATATGCCCCCAAATTAATAAAAACAAAATTTTAACGTCAAAATCTTTATTATTAAGAGAAAAAGATTGGTTGATTATTAAATTATATTTTTTTTTGATCCTTTTTAGAACTTTCGAAATTTTTTTTAAAAAACGTCTTTTTTGCATCAGTTGAGGGCATTTTTTTTTTGTAGTGGAAAACATTGATTTGGAAATTCATGCAAAAATCATAATTGTTACATTTTAATGGCATTTTCAAGAGTTATTCACAAATCAATGAAATTATTTTAGAAAGTTTTATTTTTTTTTAGAAAATCTTGGCGACTCTTTTTTACATTTTATTCTATACATAATTTTATGAAAATTTCGAGAAATTAAATTTTTGACACGCTTAATATCTATATTAGTTAAAGAAATTGAGAAATTGAATTTATTTGTAAAATAGGAACACTAGTTACTGAAAATCTGCTCTGAATCGTAAAGTAAAAAATACAATAAAACAAAGGTTATTTAATTAGGAGAACTTTAAATAGCTTTTAAAATACGTTATAATATGGATACTATTGTCTTTTAAAAAATTTATAAAGTTTAAATCTTAAAATTCTGTCTTAATTTGACCTGGTTAGGTGATGTAATTAAGTACAAAAATATTTTCCAATCAAAAATTTAAAAAGCTTCTTACAATTTTGCAACACCAATATTTTGAAAAGAATTTTGATGTTTTTTGTATGTGTATAATCCGGACGTCAATACACCGCAAATATAAGAGTATACAGTATAGCTACAAATGTACAGGAATGACAAATGTAAGCTAGTCTACATGGCAAAACAGCGCCAGCTACCGTAATCTTTCTTTAAACTTAACTCAAAAACGAAGTGTGTGTGTGTGTGTGTGTGTTAAAAGATTAATTGTTATCTTAAATTTACTTCACTCTTAATATTCAAGAAATATGGAACTAAGACAAGAAAGATTAGACCAGCAGAGAACTTGAAAAGTAAAAGCTTGTAAAATTTTATCACTACGGGCAAGTCCTAAATTTACTCTAGTCCTGATGAGAGGTCATAGGTTATACTTTCAATGTGATTTTAATGCTAATTGTTAAGCTCAAATAAAACTAGTCTTACTAGAATTTTTTTTTTTTTTTTTTACAAAAGAAACCAAGCCCATAAATTTCTTATATATATGTTTTGTTTTATCGTAAGGAAAAAAATGTCAGTGTTTACATAAACAATCTTTTTATTTCCCATTAAGTACTAAAAAAAAAAAAATTAGCTAAGTTCAGCACAAGGTAATGGTAAATTAGAACTACAAGGGAGTGTTTTCTTTAAGTGGAAAGGAATATTTTATGTGCCGTGTCTAATCCGGACGTAGGCGAACATGGCTCTCCACAATTCACCTGTTTCTTAACTAATTTTGACTTTTTTTTTCTTCTAAACCCTGTTCCTCCATCCAATTACTTAAACTAAATATGTTATGCATTGTTTTCCCTGTCCCTTTGTCCTTCGATCTGTTCTCTGAGTGTCAGATTTTCCAAACCCCTTGGCTCATTAAGTCCCCTTAAAATTTCAACAGTCTCCTCTTAATACTAAGTATAAGTTTACATTTTGTTTCAATTTTCTCTAAAACTTTGTCGTTGCTCACATATTCGGTCTGTGGTATTCTCAGGATTCTTTTATAGAACTACATTTGCGTTGCTTCCAGTCTCTTCTTCATCATGGAGAAGATAAAAATTATTAAAAAAAAAAATTAAAATCACGGTTTTGACCTGAACAGAAACAGCCATCTGTTTATAAATCGAATAACAAATACGATGCTATCACGAATGAAGCAGGCGTGCGTGTGTTTGCAATGTTTTAAAATGAGGAATATGTAAATAAAAATTAAAAAAATATTTTTAAAAATACTCATTTGAACGTCTCACGTAACGCCAGAATTAGCAATCTCATCTCGCCTACCAATAGCTTAGCCAAAATTTAAAAAAAAAAAAAAAAAAAAAAATAGAAATTTGAACTTCCATTTTCTGTCCTAATTACAGAGATGTGGGTTATTAGTCTCATTTTTGT